TCTTCTTCTTCTTCTTCTTCTTCTTCTTCTTCTTCTTCTTCTTCTTCTTCTTCTTCTTCTTCTTCTTCTTCTTCTATTTTGCATGCTTATACCTGGTACTCTGAACAACTAATTCGAAGAAAACATTATGCAGTATAACAACAACTGTAGAATCCCATCAGTTTGTTTAGTGAAATTGTGTGTCATTTCTAATGGTTTTTCTATTTATTTATTTGTTTATTTATTTATTTATTTATTTATTTATTTATATGTTAAGGAAGTGTCTAAAGGGTGCTCAGGGTCTCACTAGTAGATCAGACTCAGACTGATCCGCCTGTTTACGGCCTCCCAAGAGCCGAGATTCCAGGCGCGCCACCACGCCGTCTCGATTTCTGTCTCAGCGTGCACCCAGGGCAGGGCTTGCACCCAGGTCAGGGACTCGAATCCCCTCCCCCTCCCTCCCCTACCCCCGCCTACCCCAACCCCCACCTGCGCGTCCCTGAGCCTGCTTGCAGGTGCAGAGGAAGAGGAAAGAAAGATGACAGCAATAAACTTGGGCGTCAGCTAGGTCCTGTCTGTGCTCTAACCTTAACAGTGGCCTTCAGCCTCGCAGCTCTTCAGCGTGAGGTGAGGTCACACTTTGTCAGCAGGAACAAGGCTACCAAGGTGCACAGGTGCCGAAAGACCCACCCTCACTCGGCAGATGGCCAGAATTCCCATCAGGTCGCCACGACTGAACAATAGAGGACATTTCTGCTATGGGGTGTAGGTTCTGAGGCAATTAACTTCTCATTAAGTTGAAATGAATCAAAACTCCCACCCCACATGTACTGCTTTCAGATTTCTAAAGTCACCAGTTGAGTAAAATCCTGTTATTTTTAACGGTATCCTATAAAAGACAGCTCATCTTGCTGCTTCCTTCTAAAAAAAATTTACCTTTTTTATTATCTGTCCTTAATGCTGGAGAAGTTAATATATCACCTGAAACCGAGTGCGGAACTCTCATCTCTTTCTTAGTTTCCATTTAATTGAAACTGTTACAGTACACATTTAGCTTTTTACTTTCACAGTACCGGCCAACCTCTTGTCTCATAGGATGTGAAAGTTTGCCAAAGTGTTATGAACACCATCCCGCTGACTTTGCTCACGAAAAGAAGAGGTCAGTTTGGGCGGCTTCGCAGGTGAGCCACGGACGCCAAGTTACAAAGAAAAGAACAAAAGCGCGTGGGCGTAATTGGTATGCTCAGCTCGCTCTTCGGCCTCACCAGCAATAAATTGGCACTTTCGACTTCCAAGGACAATTGCTCATAGCTTTTTTGCGACTCACTTCAGCTTGGGGTTGACGCAAACACTGGAATGGATGAAACTATGTGGCACTATATGGCAGCGTATACTTCAAGTAATAGCTGCAATGTAAAGGGAACAGAAGTAGCACCAGAGGCTTCCAGTTTAAATAACAAAATTCAAGAAAGAGGATTTAATTTGACTGAATACAGTCACATGGTATCGGGGCCCTGTGATAAATCAAGAAAGGACATCGCAGAGAGGTTTTGTCTAGATTATTTTAAAACAATATACAGAATGGCTAAACATGAATGATTTTCTAGAAGCTGCAGAGTGGTAAATTCATGCTACTAATGCTTAAGAAAAGGGAATAAAGTGCCCTTGGAGCATTGCTGCTTAAAGTAAGAGAGAAGAAGAATTGCAAAAGGATCAACATAGAGATAACAAACGTTCAGCGCGCTGGAGACGTTGCTGAGAGGGAATCTCTTCAAGTCTGGTAGAAGATGCTTGGAACACATGCAAGTCTCCTCTGGAGAGGAGAGGGAGGTCTGCAGCACAAGTGTTTGAGAACAAAGAAAATCCTGGTTAAAGACTCAAGAGGTGAAGCAGAATCTGAAGTCAGCAGCAGCTAGGAAATGAGGAGGTTTGCTCCACAGGGGCAGTTAATCACTTTTGTCCTCATCTTGAGAGTGGCCCTGTGGAAAGGCAGGCCCTTGGCAGTCTCCAAAGGCTCCACACACTGTGCAAAGCTCCAAGAAAGGAAACTAGAGCTGGTCTGGAGGCCTGTCTTCAGGAGACACAGGCCCATGAGAAGAATTAAAATCTTGGTTTAGCATATGACAAATGGAAGCCTGATGATGTGCAGTCAGGACAGATGTGTGTGTGTGTGTGTGTGTGTGTGATCCAGGTGGTTGTCCATGTTGCCAGCTGTCTGTGTTGCTGCTGCTGGTCTGGTTGCATTTCTTTGCAAGCCCGCATGTGCTAAGATCAGAAAGCAAGCGGGGAAGGGCCACCGTGGCCCCTCAGAGCAGGCAGCTCCGCAGTTAGCTGGCTAGGTCAGAGAGGGCAGGAAGACCAGGAAGCAGCTTGTGGAGGCCCCTGCAGGGGTCTAGAGAGCATCTGAGCAAGTTACTTCTGCAGAAGGGACTCTCAGGCTACAGCTGAAAGGTGGCCAGGAATTGGTTGTGTATGACACACACTCAAGATCAAGTTAAATTATTTAGTACTTAGGTCCATAGAAAATTTAATTTCTTGATTATTGTAATGATATTGGGATTGTTTATAATTTTAATGATCATTTGACTTATTTATTTACTGTAAGCAATTTTAATTGTAGCAGTCACCTATTGCTAAATCTGCTATTGGCTGAATAAAAATCATCCTTTATGTCATTGTTGCTTTCTTTTTATTTCAAATTTTGTTATTGAGGCTGGAGAGATAGCTTAGCAGTTTAAGTACCTGCCTGGCAAGAACAAGGACTGGGTTCGATACCTGGTGCCACTGCAGGGCTGGGCACACCCAGGACTCCAGGGCTGGCGCAGCATGTGGTGCTGGGGATCAAACCCCGGTCCCTGCGCTTGCCAGGCAGACACTTACACCACCCAGCTGCCTCCCCAGCCTGTGACTTTTCATTTATCATAATGATGACACAATGTGCACCAGTATGTGGTTCATTTTAGTGGCCAAATAGTATTCCATTCCATGCATGCATTACCTTTGTCTTCCCTTCATCAGTAGTATGTGTCTGGGTTGTTTCCACTTTCTAGCTACTATGAATAACACTGCTATGAAGATTGTGCCTACGTGTTTGAACTGACTGGTGCCTTCACTGGGCTGCATCAGTAGGAGCAGAATTGCTGAGTCGTACTTTGCCATGATTACCCATGGGAAGCAACTCAGACACCTCACCAAAGCTGCTTGAGTGGAATTTCCACTTGCTCACCGATGGTTTTGTTTTCTTCAGACCCCAGAGGAACTCGAGGATGTTTCTGATCTTGAAGAGGACCATGAGGTCCGCAGCCACACCAGTGTTCACACCGAAGGAAAGACAGACCAGGTATGGCAGCCCCTGCGCCTTGGGGCCTGTGTCTCTTCTTCTGTCCAGGCAGCTCATCTTCAGAGAGTCTTGGATGCAGAACTGGTTTCTCTGGAGCATGGGGGCAAGGCCTTAGAATGTGGGAGCAGTAGCATAAGGGAATTATCTGCTCTATCTTGAGCGCTCACCATGAGGCCACTTCAGGTCAGGCAGTGAGTCGTTCCATTTTGCTTTTAATCTGTGTAAGAGTCCTGTGAATACAAAAGAGAAGTGTGTGCTTGTTTGTTAGGATAGAAAAGAAAAACCAAAAACTTGCCATTTTTCTTCCTGTCTTCAGTGACCTCTTCTGTACCTACCCTATACGCATACATACACCTGCATGTACACACGCACACACACACACGCACTGTGCAATTTTGAAGCTATTAATCCCAATTTCTGTATTATTTTGAAAAGCTGTATTTTACTTTATTTTCCTCACTGCATACGCATCTGTAAAAGCTTGCCACTGTAGCCGCTGTTGGCCCCCAACAGCAGACCAGACCTTGGAACTTGCATCAAGACCCAGTGCAACAGCCACAGCAGCCCACGGTTGCTTCTGAGTGGCTTCCTTCTGACTATGTTCCCTAAGCAACCTAGACTTTCTCTTTCCAGTTCCGTCTTTTGTAAAGTGAGAGTGCTAGTAACAGCATCTGCTGAGGACCTCTGTGGCACTGACAGAAGGCTTCAAGTGTCACCTACCATGCGCAGCAGTTTCTCAGTGACTGTCAACTGCCAGTAGGATTAGCAGCAGTAGTGGGAATTGCAGCAGTAGTGGCTCATCATCACCATCACTGTTCCTATTGTTACTCAAATAATTAAATTCAGTGACACAAAACTTGGTCCGGGAAAAAAAAAACTTGTGACTGTGCCCTGGTCCCTGTGGGACCTATCTGATCAGAAGCACTTTCATGTAGCACAATGTGAGCATACTGGCTTTATGGCCTTGTCCTTACACGGTCTTTATGAAGAAATTCAAGCAAGGACCCACTTGGTAAATCCTAGGTCTGGCATGCATGTGAGGGAACATTTCCTGAAGTCAGACACTGGGACAGCCTGCAGTGCTTTCCTACACTGTCGTAGGGTAAGGTTTGTGAAACTGATTGGAAACCAACTTCAAGCTTTGCCAAATTTAGCTCTTAATACTTCAGCTTTTGATTTCCAAAGAATGTAAGGAAATAACTTAAAAATATTTAACACCAAACAAACTCAGAGAAGCAGATTCTGTTTTTACTGCTCTCTCTGAGTTCCCTTTCTCAATCTTACAAGTTACTGTGCAAACAACAATTTTATTTGCTTTCATATGCATGAATTAATGTTATGAACTGTCACCTTCAAGCTTAGCAATTTCTTTTAGAAATAACTTCTAGCATTTATGTGCAGTATAGTCATATTTCAACTCCAAAACTCAACAAACTCAACCAGCCTAGTGCTCTCCCTGGTTTTGGGGAGAAAACCTGTCTCAGCCCTGCTGCTTGGATGTGTGTCAGGGCAGCTCAGGAGCAATGCAGAACCCCAGAGGCTTCTGGGTACTATTCTGGGCCTTTGGGATTGTAAGTGCTAATTGTGAGGATCTTAATGTTATGAGTGAAAGACTTGTATTAGCCTGGCCCAGGGTAACATTAGCCCAATAAAATGTAAAAGTTCTGGGACATTCTCACAAATTATATCTAATTAAATTATCTTTTTATTAAATTGATTCATTTGTTACTCATAAATCCTGCCACTGGAATGAATTAACAATGAGTACAAAAGTATGATTTTTGTTGATTCTTTAGTTTACCAAATATGTTCTCACTGGCTATACAACCCAGAAAATGTGATGACATAATATGAAAATGTTACTTTCGGATACCTGCACGTTTCTGGGCACTGAGGTGGTCTTATTCGCTGTAGGACTGTGTTTTGGTGGAAATGTTTTCCTCCAGGACTGGAGCTGGTGGTGGCATTGCCTTGCAAGGCTCGGTCTGCGGTAGACACCATGCTACAGCCAGACAGTGGGGACTGGGCCACATGTCTGTGTGATGCCTCTGGCTCGGGCATTCTCTTAGCACTGACTGCTGGTGTTGTTAGTCCTGCAGGAGTCATTGCACATTAGAAACCATCCAGGGTGCACAGCATCTGGATTCAATCTCCTTCAGTCCACCTGGTATCCTTGAGAAGAGATAGGATCTTACACAGCAGCAGCACTAGGAATGTACTTCATCGAAGGAAAACTTTGCTCATGCCTTCAGTGAAATGAGAGACGCCAAATCCTTGGAAGTGCAGGGAAGGTGTCAGGGCTTGCAAAGTAATCGACAGAAAGCTGTTTTATTGAAATAAAGCAATCTTAGCAAGCCAGGATTAGCGTAAACTTGTTTGGATATTCATTCTGTCTTGCTATGTATAAAGAAGAGAGAAATAAGTTATAACCCTTAAAATTTAGAAACTACAAATTTCTTTATCTAAAACTGAGATTGATAACATCCTTTTCACAGCATTGTTAACTTTAAATACGAGTGTTTTACAGGCCTTAAAACTGTTTGCTAAGAAAGCAGCATGGTTCCTATCATTACTTTTCCTTATGGCTTTTCCATTGTGTGGAATCCCAGCAAGACAAACGATCTCTGTGTATTGCAGGTCACAAAGCTGATGATCTCCGTGGTTCTGGAAATTATTAAATCTCTCATAGAAGCCACTTCTTCTAATATTGTAGAGATGACACTGAAAGTGCTCTACGTCCTCACTTTTTATTGCACTGTTTGCAGTTTCCTGGCAATCCAATCATTCATAATTCTCCTGAGTGATAATCTAACCAGGTTTCGGAGCCAAACAGGTCCCTGACCATCAGATCTATTCTGAGTCACGCTCTATTCAACCTGCCTAACCTCTGCTCTTGTATGTCTCCTCTGTATAAATTCCAAATAACTCTGAATTTATTGACTGCCTGCTTTGTGACTTGGGTCTCTGACTTCTGTGTGGAATCTCTTTGGAAAGTGCTCAATCCTTAGAATTCAGATACTTTCCCCTCCAGTGACAAGAAGAAAGCAGGACCACTGCAGAGAGAAACTCTTGGTCAATATGTTCTTCTTCATTCTGAGGTGGTGGATGGCTCTAATGGCTCCCACAGGGATTGCATTCACATTTCTCCAGTAATGACTGGCTTCATGGTGTGTCTTAGGAGCTGTTGTCATTTCTTTTCTGATTCCTTCTTGTCAGGCTCCTACAGCTATTTTGTAGGCTCTATCCCCCAAAGCCACAGCCTTCCAATCTCAGATTCCTCTTTTGGGGGAAAACAAGGAGGCATCACAATTTCCTGAATCCCGTAATAATTTCGTTATATTGATATTGTTTTCTCCATTTTATAAATCAGATTCTAAGCCTGAGATTTGAATAACTTGTCTAGTATCCAGGACATAAAGCTCATCCATTACCAAAAGCCAAATAAGCTGAGTCCATGACAAACTTAATCCATTATCATTAGAAGAATGAGAAAGAAACACAGACCTGCAGCTGTCTGTGAAAGGAAAGTTAAATATTTCCTGTTAACTTTTAAAGGAGAATTATTTTGTAGGATGGGGAATTTAACTCCAATAAGACCATTTTTCATCAAATAGCTACTGAGTCTATTACAGCCGGTTCTATTCATTTACTCTCTTATCTGTAGATGAGTGAACAAGAAAAATCACTCAACTCTCTCCCTAAATCAAAGAACCTGGCCAGAACCAAGCTCACATTCTGGTATATTTTCTTTTGTTTGTTTGTCTGTTTTTTTTTTTTTTTTTTTTTTTTTTTTGGTTTGGTGGAACCAGGAATTGAACTCAGGCCCTTGTGCTTACTAGAATAAGGAAGCACTTATTCTACTGAGCCATCTCCCCAGGCCTAAGATTTTATCTTCTTTACCAGGCATCTTATATCCCCAGCAATCTCATATTTCCCATGTTAACCTGTTCAATCTCATGTCCATGTGTTAACTTTGTTTCTATTCAAAATGACTATAAGTTTTCCCCAATTAATTTTTGACACATTTTGTAAGCACCGTCATTGAGAATGTTCCATCACATTTTCAGTTAGGTTCTGTTGAGGATTATTTTAATTCCCATCTATGTTCATAGCTCAGAACCAGTGTCTAGGTTTCTTTCTGTTTGCTCCTATTACAAAAGAGTAAATGACCCTTTGGTGCTCAGATTCTGTAGACTCTGCTCTAGTGAGCAGATAGAAGAACCAATTTTATACAGTTTAATAACGGAGCAACACTTATCTATTTTCATTTTGTTTACTACATTTCGTTCCTAGTAGCTTTGACTGAACATCACCAGTTACTGCTCTCATTAGGGACCAGTGCCCCTGGGCATTGCACATTCTGTGACAAACAGTGAGACGAATTCCATGATCAGAGAAAGATGAGTGGAAGGAGGACAATGCGTGCCTTATGGAGTAGTGATGAGTAGCAACAGGAATTAGTAACCATCTTAGCACTAGACGCAGGTGTTCACTGGACTCATACTGTGGTGAAGTCCACTAAGGAAACATTCCACAATAATAAAAGTGTGTGTGTACACTGTAGCTTCTCAGTGTTTTCCTCATAGAGTTCACTGTTGATTCTGTTCAGACTTTCAGAAAGGATAAAACTGGCAATCAACAAATTAATGATAACTAATTTTATCTAGAAGCTCAAATTTGGAAGAGGCATGAGAATCAACTTTAGTTGAGAAAATGGATTTCCTAAACTTATTGATAGATTCTTGTCAGCCCTAAATGATTCCTACAAGATTATGCTAAGTACTGCTAAACCATAAATTGTATTTCAACACAGCAATACTATTTAACATTATAGTTTATAAAATATCTTTATATCATACATAACTCATCATAAAATATCATTATATTTACAAAATTGATTATATTATTTAACAAAATCCATGGACAGTTTTTCTTTTAAATCTTCCCATTGATTTTGCTAATTAGAGAACTTAATTCAAAGGACTTAAGTAGTTTATTCAAGTCTTGTTGGCTGGGACCAAATCCTAGTCATTGAGCTCTACCACATCAACATTTCCAGAGCAGCACATTGATAAATCTGGGCAAAGGCTCATCTTCCTTAAGCTCCTGCTGCCCTATGGCTGTTCCAATCCCTACACTAGAGCCGCTACTAGAGTTCTGTACTAGGAAGGTCATTTATGGACCACAAGACCAAGGACTTGAAAATTAGACCCTTTTAAACTGTGAATTTCTAAGTATCCCAGTCCTACAATCAACGGCAAAATTGGTTTGTTGATTAGCTTCAGGAACCTTCTCATGAAGCTCAGCCAGGCTGCCTCCACCAGTGGGCCCCATGACCTGGAGGAAGCAGAGCAGAGTGCTTTGGAAGTCAAGGCATCGGGTGAGATCTCAGGGGGGATATGAGCCTCTGAAGTGAGGGATCCTGAAAAGCAGAGGTGGCTGAGCCTCATTCAGCCTTTCATCACATCAACCTCTGTGATACTTTAATGTACTTGGCACAGGATCTGCCCAGTGTACAGGCAGATCTTACTACGTAAATCGGATTCGCAGTGATTCTCCTGTTTTCAGCCTCCCAAGTGCTGGGATTATAGGTGTGCCACCACTCCCAGTCTCATTCACCATCTCAGCTTGCCCTGGGGGCAGAGCTAGCATGACTTGTGGTTCAGGGATCAAACCCCAGCCCCTGCACTCTGCCTAAGGAGGGCTTCAGTCCACTGAGCTATCTGGCCAGCCCTTTCTGTGTTATTTTATTAAGGAAGAAATTCTAAATTCTAGAGTTTTCCTTGTTTTATTTTTTCCAGTAGGGGGAGCAGTGCTGGTAGACAAGTAGGAAATTGGCTCCAACCATGCAGAAGGATACATATGGGAAGATTGTCCTCAAACTTGCTTAGCGACGAGTGTGGACTTAACGGTATCTTAATAAAGCGTCTAGGGAGTGCAGTGCCTGCACAAGTAATCCACCCGATCTAACGCTGTTTTAAAACAGAGAAGTCCAGAAGATGTAATCCTACCTACTTATTTGTACTAAATTCTAGTTCAACATTGTTGGAAAACTTACGTTTCTGATACTGAATTTTCCCATTTGTAAGACTCTGGCTGTGATAGTTCCACTGTTATGGTGATCTTTGACGACTGATTTAGGCATGTGAAAATATAATTATTTTGATCATATAGAGAATTATCAATAAATTTTGGTTGTATAAGTTTAATTACATAAATGATAGTAACTCCTTCATGCTAGTATTGCACTGAGAGCTCCTCACATGGCTCCACTTGGGACTTTGACTTGATGACTTGATACTTGCATCACGGTGCTGTGCATCCAGTAGGAACTCACTTGGATTTTTATTTATTTATTTATTTATTTATTTATTTATTTATTTTTCTGTATTTTAGGGAAGGCTGTACAGGGTGTTCAGGGTCTCACTATTAGATCAGACTCATAGTGATCCGCCTGTTTATAGTCTCGCAAGAGCTGGGATTACAGGAATGAGCCACTATGCCCAGTCTCAATTGCTGTCTCAGCACACCCCCCGGACAGGGCCGGCCCAGCATGCCCAGGGATAGAACCCCCAGCCCCTGCGCCTGCTTGCAGGTGCTTTAATCAGCTGAGTTATTTGGCCGGCCAAAGACATGTTTAAATACAAACGTCTTTACTAGCTGATGTTTCTTACCTGGGGTTTCATCTTCTGGGAGTTCAATTATCTGTAGTCAACCACAGTCTAAAAACATAAAATGGAAAATTCCAGAAATAAGCAGTTCATAAGATTTAAATGACATGAACACTGGATCATCCGGAGCATGATGGAATGTCCTGCTGTCTTTCTCTGCTCTGCCAGGGTGGAGAGCTGCTCCTGTCTCGATGCCCCACATTGCAGGTGCTGCTGCCAGGGGTCTCAGCTGTGCAATCCACCAGTGCGCTGTTGCTGTGCTTCTTTTGAGTAATCCCTTTTCCTCTCAATTATGCCTCTGAAACTCAAGGGGATTGATACTAGCAGCTGTATTGTACTCTATTTTTATAATTGTTCTTTTTATTATTTCATAATAATTAGTAGTATGTAAGTTAGCAAACATTATGAGAAAATGTCTCAGATCATCATCTTAGAAGAAGGAATGATTTATTTTGGCTCATAGATACAGAGGGTTTAGCCCATGGTTGTTTGTTTGATTTTACCTTCAGCTGTGTGGTACACCATGGTGACAGTCTATAGAAAACATACCTGTTCCCTCCTGTGGGAGCTGGAGTGAAGGATGAAACTGACAGGGACAGGGTCCCAAGGTCCCACGAAGGGCACATGTTCAGTGCCTTGACTTCCTTCTACTCGAGCCCATTTCCTCATGTGGTGCCCTCCTCCCAGCGACATCTGTCTGTCAAGCCACTTTTTGCATGTGTGCTTATGGGGGAATAGTCAAAGCAGACTGATTAGTTACTCATAA